AGGGGCGCCGCCGTTCCTGTCTCCCCCCACCAGTGGTGCAGACACTGACACGGCCCAGCCCCGTTCACCAGGAGACAGATGTGAGTGCACAGAGCCATGCGGTCGTTCCCTGCAGCCTGTGCTGTCGGCACTGCCGCCCCTGCAGAGGCTCTGGCTCAAGGCACAGCCCAGCAGAGTGATCTCTCCCAGCACAGCTCTGCTCAGGCTTTCTGGCTTAACTCTGAAGTCAGAATTACGCAAGGGGGCAAGAGACATTTCACTCTGATCCTCGCTGGGGCCAGAATCGATAGCTTTGCTGTTTCTTTCACAAACATCAATAACCTGTACTTTCTGCCGGCATCAAAGCGCGCGTGTGGTGTCTGAAGGCTGAGCTTAGCTGGTTTTTGCTGTAAGTAGTTCTTTAGCAGTTCTTTTGGAAATTCTGGCTGCAAGGAGCATCCGAGAGGATCTGTGCAGCGAAGCCCCTAAGACTTTGTGGTTCCATCAGTTCCACCACCGATTTGTTCAGTTACGTGAGACACTGAAGAATTTTCAAACCTGAATTTGATTTCTGTTTAGGATACAATGAGGTTTCCATTCCACAGAGGATTGTATCAAGTCACAGCAAAACCAGCTGATAATCTCATCACACATCTGTAGTGCATAGACAGGGATTTTTTTTCCCACTACAAAGTGACAGTGAATTCAGCACAACTCTATCAGATCCCCTATCATCTCTGTTCCTCTGTGTCATTTAATGTGTATTTCAAACCAACCTTCCTCAGTAGCTAAATGGAGATGAGAGTAGCAGTGACAGCTAGCCCCCAGTCCTAGATAATCTACAACTGAACAGTATCGTCCTTGTTTTCTCTCACACATTTAAGATGCATAAGGTGCCTATTATGGTGACAGGGCTCCCTTCTTGTATGCATCTACTGAGCTGGTTAACTTCTGTATTAAATTAAATTCCACTGCCATATGATATGGACAAGGTTTAACTCAGAAATTACAACTCAAGCTACTAAATTTTTAATGGTGATGCATCTTGAACTTGTGAAGTAAAGAAAATCTATCTCTGCATTCTCTCTCTTTCTCTAACGTGCTGTTTTACCCCTCCTCCACACCCGATCTGAGCCGCTGTTTCCTCACACCCAAGGAATGCAGAAGCCCACGGGCAATGGAGGAGTGGGCTCCTTGCATGGCAGCGCAACGCGCAGCTGCTGGAATAGCCTGGCCTATCCCACCTCGTTCAGACGGGTGAAAGATCCATCAATCTTGCCTCAACGGTGTGAAGAAAAGACAGTCTTCTGATGGGGAAAAAATGAGTATTTGCTTTTGTCTCACTTCATAGAATTTCACTTTAAAGAAGGAAGGAAGGAAAAATCTCCCCGTGGTAATCTCTGGATCGGTTTGCTACCTCTGCTTCTGCCCACAAAAAAAGAAAGCAGTAGGCACAATTTGCTGCTTGTTTCTAATTAACCTATTTTATTTCAGTTCTGCAGAACCCTTGCAGATAAAACAGATGGGTTTTTTTTTTCTTCCTTCCTTTCTCATATCTTAATCTTTCATTGAAAATGATCAAAAACCTATGGCAGCAGATGGGGATGGAATATGAAAGTTTTCACAAAGGAGTTCAGATATCAGAGGAGAATAAAAAATAAAAATAGATTTCATTTAAGTTTTGAAAAATATTTCTAGGCTTTAAAATTTATAGGCAGCTTGGTATCTTTCATTTCTTAAAGGAAAAGTCCAGCAATTGTTTGGCTATAAGTTATTGTAAGTAAATATTTACTGTGTATGCAGTTACTTTCTTCTTTCCACACCTCTTCTCAGATACACCCATCAATTTTTCAGTGCTTTTAGCTGAATGAATATTTAAGTTGAGGGAGATAAAAGAAATAACTGTGGTACAGAACTGTAACCCCCTCTCCCGTCTCTGGCTCATTCATTACTAACTAAAAAGCGCCCTCTCACAAGCACTCAAAATGAGGTTTAATCAGTGAACCTGGGACCAATGTCTCCTGACATTATCCCTAATAAATAAAGATTAAATAAATAATCATCTGTCATGAAGTAACAATTCAGTACCTACATACCATGGGGTCAGTCAAACTCATGACCTGGACAGGGAGTTTTAATCTGCTGTCTGCATATTAGGAAGTCAGTGGTGAAGGTTCTAGAGCAAGCAATTAATGAAAGCACACGTGCTGTTGGTAGTGGACTTGTGTGACATAAGACTGCAAATCAAAGTGATAAAATCACAGAATTCAGCACTTATCATACATCAGTCCCCTTGAGGTATTCATCCTTTAACAGCACTTGCAATAACTCCATGTGATTTCACCGAATCATTGCACAAAGACCATTCTGGGTGTCACTTGCACTCATACGGGATGTGTCACAAGCGTGGTCACACCTGCACCAGGGATGGAGTCCTTCGTGCACGCTCCATTCCTTGAGACAGGGCTGACACGAAACCCACTACATGAGACAGTTCACAGCTTCCGGGGGTGTGTGTGGTTTGCTGCACTTCTTACCTGGACTCCCTTTGAGTGATGGCAAGGTAGATTTCCCAGGAAGTCTCCTCAGGAATGGCTCCGTGTGGTATCAGCAGACTGACGCCTACAAAGAGCAAAGGCAGGAGTTACACGTGGGAGAGACCAGACCCTGCGTGTAACAACAGCCCCAGCTGGCCTCTGCTTTCCAAGAGCTGGGAAGGCCATCTGCCAGCGCAGGAGAATGCTCCTCTGAAATAGGGGTGCTGACTACAACGTTATCAGATGAAAGGAAAACACATTATTAGTAGGACCCCACAGTTACTAAGTTATAATAGTGAGTTAGTAATTTATAAACAGTTTAAATAGGCATAATGCCTCTGCACTACTCATCCCAAGCTTTGTTCTGATCAGTCATCTCCCGTGTGGGCAACAAGCTCTGCTTCCCAAAATTTGCATTAAGAAAGCCCCTACTTTTCTTTCCTTTTTTAAAATTAATTTCGTCATAGAACACTGCATCAGGCAAAGTAGGCTTAATCTAAAATTATTTGATGTGCTTTTAATGAGAAAGAATCTACCCACCTGTGTTTGGGACCACTAAACGGCCACCCAGGTGTCCAAAAACAGCAGTTGTCTTCAGCTCACTTCTTGTTGAAACAGAAGGCAGGTTCTGAATATAGGTGGCCTTGTTTCTAGCTGGTATTGTACCAAAAGCTCGATTATTCCCATGAGGAAAAGTTCCGGAATGCGCCTTGCCGTGGTATTCCGCCCTCTCTGTCACCCCTAGGGACACCATGAACGAGCTCTGCACCTTGACTTTGATGTCGGACAGCGGGTTGAACAGGGACGACTCCGTCATGAGCTCCTTGTCCATGGGATCCTGCAGGCAGATGGGGCCGCTGTAGGTCCTGCTCACTGCCAGCTCCGGCTGCAGGGAGGAGTTCAAGAGCAGGGAGTTCCCTGGTGGAAGGAAGCAGATCAGGGAGTCAGTCACGGTACTCAATGTTAAATCTGAAATCTCTTTCTGACCTCTCCACTATTTCCTTTTTTGACTTCTCTTCCTTCTTGAAACTCTCAGAGCTCAGAAATCACAAAAGGCAATGTTAAAAAAAGAGAAGCAGTAGATCTGACAGGTACGTGATCGCTGTGTTCCCCGCACTTCAGGCAGCTCCAGAGCGCATCCATCCAAGAAGGAGCTTCCTTTCTGGTCTGTGCGTGTGCCTTTTTTCTTTTTTTAAATTAGAGCCCATTGGGTGAAAACACATCTTCCTGCAGACCTTTTCCGTGAGCTTACACGAAAGGATAGCTTCATGCCTGAGGGAAACTGGGTTGAAAAGGAAGTGGGACAAGTGTAATATAGGGAAAAATACCACAGTTACTCATTTAGAAGCATTTTAGCTCAGAAAACACTCTGAATAGGAGAAGCAATGGACAGATTTAGGGCCTGAATCCTTTAGCTGGTTTGGTCTTTTTTTGTGAGCTTGGGGAGTGGGGATGGGTGTTTGGTTTTCAGTAAATAGAAGTTTTCCAAAGTAGCTGATTTTCTGAAAATTATCTGTACTGCATCCTTGAAAATGCGATCACTTGAAGGGACTGCAGGTTGGGTTGCTAACACGACAAACACATTTCTCCAAACAGTAAAATCTGGGTCCCACTGATCCCTTGTCTGTACATCAGTATTGTGGAAACCGAACTGAACTGGCCTTTTGTCAGCTGAATTCTTTAGTTTACAAATGCTCATACTGAAAAACTCCAATTAAGTGAATCTGAACTGAGAGCATCCTGGCATAAGAGAAGCTGGCACGCTCAGACATTTTCAGAGTGTCCACAACTGATGTTTTTGAAATATTAAGTCAAACAAACAAATCCCCAGACTCAAAACAAGACTTTTATGGCAAACTGAACAGCAAAGGAAAGTTACTGTTTGATGCAGTCACTGAAAATTCGTGACTCTAATTAAAGGCTTGGAATTTCAAATGGATGAGTAAACGTCCTTCAAACATCCTTGTCTACCAAGCCCTTTTTCCAATTTCTTGCGGTTTCTGCTTGCTGAGGAGCGTCTCCAGAAAATGACCTCAACTGTGAGAACGGCAGCAGAAAATAACCCCAACAAACTGCACCTCATTGCACTTGTGCAGAGAGAGAGGAGACATGGGGATACCTTCACAGCCCGCACCCCCACGATAGGGCAGGTCTCTGTGTTAGGGTTTCAGTATGAATTAAAGAAACATACTATTCTAGCGTAATCCCCATTTGTATTCCTCCCTGGCTTTCTGTCCAAAGGAAGTAATATTTCAGAAAACAACCGAGTGCTGTTTTTAGTAAAAGTAATTATTTCTTCCATATTTTATTGTCTTGGTGGCTTTCTGAAGTTTTGGGTTGGTTTTTATATCAGTACGTGTCAATTCACACACATTTATTTCCTTCAGACCTCTGCATGTGGATGTTTGCATGCCAACAGGAGCTTCTAAAAATACTTAAAGTTGGCATTCTCAAATTAACGGTAAAAAACTAATCACTTACTGGAGTAAAGAAAATAGGGGATCTGTAGCTGCATAGGAAGGACGTGCAGACATGCTCCCTGGGTTTGGTTTATTTGTTTGGACCTTTGGTAAGTCCCAACAGTCAGTGCAGAGGCGAGAGGCAGTATTTCTAAAGCACTTAGAGCACAAGAGGATCAGGTATTTGATTTGTCCGAGCTGCCCTGACACATCGGTCGCAGAGACCGCTGTAAGCAGCAGATCTGCTCCTGGTCCCTGGCTTTCCAGCATCTGCTCAGCGCGAGGAGAGAGCCCTCCCACTGAACACAGCTTAGCATCGCTTTGCAGTAGGAGCTCTGGAGAGAAGAAAATGAAATCACACCACTAACCTTGTCTGACTGTTTTAAAATTAAATGTCTGGAAGCCTCCTGTCAGCGCAGATGAATCAATCACATCCACGCCGTACTCACTCTGACTCCGTCTGTACAGGGTAACGCCAACCACCAGCACGGCTACAGCAATGACTGCTGCTCCCAGGCCGGAGTACAGGGCAATGTCACTGGCGGTCTCGATATCTGAAAGGAGAACAAGGGAGCACCACGTCAGCAGCGCTCATGAAGACGGGCTGGGTGCTGCTGGCTGGCCGCGAGCAAGGGGAGGGAAAGCTTGAGACATAAATGTGGAGCAGATCACAGCAGGGTGGTGGAGCACAAGGGAACACTGAAAAGCAAGCATCTGGGAGCGTGAGCAAATTTCCTCATGTGCTAGGGATTGCATCATGGTCTTTACAGTTGGGGTCTGTTGTGTGGTTTTTAAATGGGAGAGCTGGCCTTGCAGCAGTGAGCAGCAGAGCGCTTACCACTAAACAGTTTTCTCCCCCGTCAGCGCGCATCGCTAGCTGGGCTCCTGGCGGAGGAGCGAGTCGTTTCCCGTTCCCAGCCAGTAGCGGTCATTAAATATGGAAATGCACCCCTTAATGGGAGAACGTGGACAGCCACAGCTAGGGACGGCTGCTTTAGCGATCAGCACGGGCCTCATCTGTCACCAGATTTCAGAGACATCTACCTTGTGGGTGTGAATTCTGGAGCTAATCCAGCAGGCCATGAATCCCCCGAGAAATCTTAGTGAAGATTTCCCCTTCCCATGTGAGCTTTAGTCCATCCCATCAGCTCGGGAGCTGAGGAGATCCCACACATCTTCTTAGGTCTGCAAGCATCTTCAGTCTTGAAAAAGAGGTTGGAAACCAAACCTTCCCTGTGATCACACCATGCATCAACCTCGCAACCAAGTTTTCTAAGATGTCAAACTTTTACAGCAGAAAAGAAGAATTCAGTTCTTTGAAAGAATAAATCCAAATGACACCTGCAACATTATGTAGTTGAATGATCCAGTCCTGCTATTTGAGATCTTCTGGGATTTGGGACCACGCACCATGAAATTAAATTACTTGGCAAGCACACTTAGTGGGTCCTTAGATAGCTCCTCAATGCCAAACTCCAGTTTAGAGGAAGAGATAACCACGTATTCCCCCTATACATCATCTGTTATCCTGCTGTGGCGCTTCTGCTAGCAAGTACAGAAAATGCATTTATTTATAACAAGCGACAGTGACAAAAAATAACTGGGAAATCCAGAATACTCAATATCAGTAAATAAACTGCAATGTACAGAAATAGGGTAGGAAGTTAAAATCAGCATTTAATAAATGGCCAATTACTGAATTACTGAATTAGTAGTTGGGAGGAGGCTTCTGTTGTGCGTGTGTTTCGCTGCAGAAAGTCAGATAACTTCATTTTAGCTGAACTGTCTGGCTCAAAGCACCCTTTCCATCCCCATTCTCAGAGTGCTCTCAGTCAGCCCCAAATACAACGCTGCAGCATCCCAGTCGACCCAAAAGAAACGTCAGTGCTACAGGAACCGCTGCTAAGCCCAGAAAATACTTCTGCAGAAATTCTCCTGAGTTTTCAGATAACCTGGCACTGACAAAGGTTGCTCTTTTTAACACGTGCAGAACTTGCCGAGAAGGGAAAAAAAGCCCACAAAGTTTCCATGCAAGTACCAGCTTTCAGAAGAAATCCATCTTCTGCGGCATGGCACAAGTCAGCACAACTGAATAAACCTGTAAGAAGCTGGATGAGAGCTACTTAAACCATTACAATTGCTGCACAGTTCTACTCAATAAACTGCTAGAGAAAAAGAGGTTTTTCTGAAGCCTTTTTTTCCCATTTTTTCCATGAGATGCCCCCTTGAAAAATGATGTAAGGAGAATTTTAAGCATTTTACATTCAGAGTTAGAAATTGTAGGAAGCTGGCTGTGAGCTGAGGATGTAAATGCACCAGACCAGCGATGGAGATGTGCACGTTCCCTTACACCAGATGCAGCAATAAGGGCAGATGACGGTGACCAGGACGACTGGAAATAGCTGCAGCCAAGCCCAGACCGCCTGAGTCCAACCCTGTGCCCTGATCACTCTCTGCTTTACCTCCCCTTCAGTAACGGCTGCAGAAAGAAAAGTACAGGAACTAATTGCATTTCTATTTCTTTCCATTCACTTCTCCTGAGCTATTGTGTTGTTACAGGGAATTAATTATGAAACACTGCTGTTGACTTAATTTTTGTGGGTAATTAGCGCAATGAGTAAG